CAGAAGCCTGAGACCCACTGTCCAGAGTTCCCTGAGAGTGTAGTAAGGGTGTTTGGGGGCAGAAGCCTGAGACCCACTGTCCAGAGTTTCCTGAGTGTGCAGTAAGGGGCTGACACTGTTGAACCTGCACCCTCCTGCCAACAACAAATCTAGCTGCAAGGGAGAAAAATGGAACTGAATTCTTAACCAAATTAGTTCCATGCCTAAGACACTCATCAAGTAAGGAAAACCAGCAGAATGTAAACAAGTAAAGTGCCCAGGTCAAAGTGCAGCGTGCACTGCCCAGGCTGTCACCCCAGGGGCCAAACAGCACAGGCTGGCCTTCTGATGGTTGACTTTTCTCAGCTCCGGCTCCTGACACCCCAAACTCAGCTGCCCCCTACCTTCCCCAATACTCTAAAATCTCACAGAGCCCTGTCCAATGTGGGGTCAGGGATTCTAATGAAAACACAAGTCTGAGCCTTGGGGCAGGGTAACAGAAAAGGGGAGGACAGGAAGCTTGGTTTCTGGACACGCCAATTTCTGGTTTAACAAGATGAACTGTTCAGACGGACCTGATGGCGGCAGGGGGCTACAGGACCACAACCATCAACTGGGCCTCCTCTGTGGACAGAGGGCTCTGCCATTGAAAAGACAAGTTCAACTCCCCCCACGGCTAACTGCGCTTCTTGCCTCCTACCTCCAGCAGAGGCCGCCATGGACCTGACTCCTTAATCTAAGTCCTGCACCTCTGCAATCTAGCGGACCACACTATCCTTCACCACACTTGGGGTTCAGCTGCTCACATCCTGAACCCTCTGAGACCCGACACAGCTCTGTCTTCTCCAGGGCACTGCAGCAGTGTCAGCGGCAGCTCCAACTACAGTTCAAATGTTACATTAATGCCCTCATCAACACTAGAACACTCAAGTCCACAGGGACACATGCACATGGCAACAAGTAAATAAAAAATCTGGGTGGCACCTGTGGCTCAGTGTGTAGGGTGCCAGCCCTAAATACTGAGGGTGGCAGGTTTGAACCTGGCCCCGGCCAAACTGCAACAACAACAAAAAATAGCCGGGTGTTGTGGTGGGCGCCTATAGTCCCAGCTTCTTGGGAGGCTGAGGCAAGAGAATCACCTAAGCCCAAGAGCTGGAGGTTGCTGTAAGCTGTGACACCACAGCACTCTACAGAGGGTGACAAAGTGAGACTCTGTCTCTCAAAAAAAAAAAAATCCTCCCCTGTGGCTTGGTGCCTGCAGCTCAGCACCTAGGGCACTGGCCACATACACAGGGGCTGGCAGGTTCGAACCCAGCCCAGGCCTGACAAATAGCCAGGCATTGTGGCGGCACCTGTAGTCCTAGTTACATGGGTGGTTGAGGCAAGAGAATCGCTTAAGCCCAAGAGTTTGAGGTTGCTGTGAGCTGTGATGCCTTGGCACTCTGAGGGCTATGGTGGGACTCTGTCTCAAAAAAAAAAAAAAAAATCCTCCCCCACTTTTTGGAGTCTTGTTCTACTCAGGCTAGAATGCTGTAGCATCAGCCTAGCTCACAGCAACCTCGAATCCCTAGGCTCGAGGGATCCTCCCACCTCAGCCTCCCAGAGTGTTAGGATTACAGGTGCGAGCCACTCTGCCCTGCCCGAAAGCCCTTATTTATTTATTTATTTATTTTTGTAGTTTTTGGCTGGGGCTGGGTTTGAACCTGCCACCTCTGGCATATGGGGCCAGCGCCCCACTCCTTTGAGCCACAGGTGCTGCCCAACATCCAGCTATTTTTTGTTGCAGCTGCTAATGCTGTTTTAGCTGGCCGGGCCAGGTTAGAACCTGCCACCCTTGGTATATGGGGCTGGCGCCCTGCCCACTGAGCCACAGGCGCTGCCCCTGAAAACCCTTCTTATATTAATCAAAATATAAAGAAAAGAGGGAGGAAAAATTGCCTGGGGCTTATAAAGTCCCAGTTGACAAGGTTTAATAAATTTAAACAACTTTAGGGATCTCCTCCTACACAAATCTATCATTTCAGTAATAAATGATTATACTCTAAATAAACATTAAAAATTCTACAGTACCCAACACTGTATCATATTGTATTGATTACTGTATTGCATCGTATTTTTTTGAGACAGAGTCTCACTCTGCCACCTGGGTAGAGTGCCATGGAGTCAGCTCACAGCAACCTCAAACTCCTGGGCTCAAGTGATCCTCTTGCTTCAAGTCTCCAAGTAGCTGGACTACAGGCACCTAACACAATGCCCAGCTAGTTTTTCAGTAGACACTAGGCCTTACTCTTGCAAGGCTGGTTTTGAACTCCTGAGCTCAAGCAATCTACCTGCCTCAGCCTTCAAGAGTGCTAGGTTTACAGATGTAACCCACCATGCCCAGCTAGTTCCCAACATACTTTAGAATAAGGAGTCTGTAGACCTTTACCATAGTCTAGTTTATATCTTAAGTTAGTATTTTTAAGTTTAGGCAAGAATTCTCGGCTCAGGGCCTGTAGCTCAAGTGGCTAAGGCACCAGCCACATACACCTAAGGCGGCGGGTTTGAATCCAGCCCGGACCTGCCAAACAACAATCATGGCTGCAACCAAAAAATAGCCAGGTGTTGTGGTGGGCGCCTGTGGTCCCAGCTACTTGGGAGGCAGAGGCAGGAGACCCACTTGAACCCAGGAATTGGAGGTTGCTGTGAGCTGTGACGCCACAGCACTCTACCCAGGGGAACAGCTTGAGGCACTGTCTCAAAAAAAAAAAAAAAAAAAAAAAAAGAATCCCCCCCCCCCAAAAAAAAACAAGAAAAATTTCACTTTTATCTTAAGACTTGTTAGGGCAAGGATGGGTATCTTTCATAAGGGTATCACCACAATATGAAACTTTTTTTTTTGAGACAGGGTCTCAAGCTGTCATCCTTGGTAGAGTGCCATGGTGTCATAGCTCACAGCAACCTCCAACTCAGGCTCAAGTGATCCCCTTGCCTCAGTTTTTCTTTTTTCTTTTTTTTAGTAGAGATAGGGTCTCAAACTCATGAGTGCAAGCAATCCACCCACTTTGGCCTCCCAGAGTGCTAGGATTATAGGATGAGCCACCATGCTTGGCTTTTTTTTTTACTGAGATAGTCTCACTTTGTCACCCGGCTAGTTTTTGAGTGACAAGGTCTTCCTCTGGCTCAGGCTGGTCTTGAACCTGTGAGCTCAGGCAATCTACCTGCCTCGGCCTCCCAGAGTGCCGGTATTACAGGTGTGAGCCACAGCCTGACCAATAATAAACATTTTTTTTTTTTTTT